GTAGGGCCTTCTCACTGTACAAGGAGCCCAGGTGACAGCTGTATAGAGCGCGCCGCTTTCGCGGCTAGAAAATGCGAGACAAGGGTCCCAGAGGTTCACGATCATTGTTTACAACTGGGTTGGGTAGAATGGCCGTGTCAATACGACCCTCACCTCCAAGACGGAATTTCTTAGTGCGAACCACCTTTCACAATCTGTCTACTTACCAATTTTTCGGCTCCGATACAGCATACTGTTTAAGTGCCTTTCTCGGCCATTACTTAGGACGGCCTGGACTTGGGGAACTCTCGAATGCATGGGACTTTTTTTCGGTTGATTAATGGTAGTTTGTAGGGGTAATGCAAGGGAAGGCAGCAGCACCTGTCTGGGGGTCATATGCCTTTTCTTGGAATAAAATGTAATTCTTTTTAATATGGTGGTAATCACCTCAAAGACACATTCCGCAGTTCCCTCCCATGTGAGAGGTAAGGCTTTTCTCCTACCTCGGTCCGGAGTTTCAGAGAATCGTCGATTACGTGATTCCTCACTTGAGACGAGCTGCGGCCATCACAAGCCAAAGTTATGCCCACCGTAGAAGGTGCCCCACCATTAGGATGCGGGACGAGATACCTGAGGTCTTATGTGCCTGCTGCCGTATGTCTCTGAAAGCAGGTGTGATGCACTGCTCCCATTCTATGCGGGACTATTTCGTCGTCTTCCAGGTTTTCCTGCAGTTCTCTCATCCCAGGTCTGTTCCGTTACCTCAGCAGCGACTCACTTGTAATTACTTCCACTCCTGGGGTCTTACTTTGGGCGTCCTCGACCATATTGTGTACGTATTTCTTTACTGTCAACCAGCGAATTCATGTCCGGGCCGCCGAGCCCCCAAGTTAAGAAGATGCCCTTCCTAGCATTTTTCTTGTAGACTGCACTCAAATTAAGACCCCTCTTTTCATTAAGGATTAGAAGTGACTTCCATTAGCCTGAAGTCCTTTGTGACATGTAAAAAGCCCGTCGCAATGAGAAACGGGTAATTTTGAAGAATGGTGCCTAGTGTGTCCGGGCCGTCTTTCAAAATGCTTAGCGCACGCATGGGAACACTTTAATCATAAATTCAATTGAATGTATTGGACGCGACGCAGTTTTTATATGATTTTTTTCAGCGTCATGTGCTTTTGAAATCCTTCAAAGCCTTCTTTGCAGATTACAACGTATCTAGGCAAGCGTGATTTTATCGATCGTGGGGATTATGTGGACTTGATAGGTGTGTTGGATTTTTTTTATTTTCGTTTTGTTAATTTTCAAGTTTCAGCGGTTTCACATGTGCCTGAGGGCACGAGCCAAATTAAAGAGGGCTATGAAACTTTGAGTTTGGAGGGAGAGAGGAAAAAAGCATTTGATTGGTTTTTCTGTTACGGAATTGAGCTCGGGCCTTCTGTGAACAGGGAATGTCCTGAGGATGTGAAAGATTTTCTATCTCTGAGGGTCTTCGCACTTTGCGTCAGCGTTTTGAGCGTTTCGAGCAGCTAGGAAACTATAGGTATCGATCCGGCGTACGGCGGCGTTCCAAGCGTTTCGCAGGTAAATTTGAAATTTTCGCGGGCAGTCGCTGAAGCTGGCATGCATTCAGAACGTTAGAGCGATACCTATACTTTCCTAGTCGCTCAAAACGCTGCCGTACGATGTGCTGGCGCTAAGTACGAACGCAGCCCAAGATCTATTGCCAGTATTCCCAGCAAACGGGGGGGGGGGAGGAGGGGAAGGATGTGGGCCGGCTAGAGACTGCCGCCTAAACCTACACCCGGAAAAACGGCCGGACGAGTTTTACGGGCGCAAGTCGTCCACTTCGTTGTGGGACCACGCGTCCCTTTAACTTCATTTGAATTAGGATACTTCAATAAGAGCGTTTTTTTGCAAGATTATCGCTTTTGTGCGTAATCACAGTTAATATTTTCGAGATCTGCTTCTGCTTAGATTAGGAAACATGAAACCTGAGTGCAACCGGAAACTTGAACACTTCAAGTGCATCTTTTGTTTTAGGGGTTATATCCCGTGGGGTGCCACCATTTTTCAAAAGTTCTGCCACTCAGCGTTGGATTTCGACGCAGGAAGATATCTACATCCTATCTTCGGTATTCTGTGCACAAAACCGCTGTTAGAAGGGCTGTTTGTTAGATGTCTGGCGCGCGAAAATTTCCGTTTGACATGTGGTTTGGAGACACTTTTGACTCGCTCAGTTTTAGAGAGCTCTCGAGGGAAAGAACTGTTGAGTTTAGGAGAACAACAACTAGTCTCTGTTAGATCTAGATTCACTGCAATTCTTCACAGGCCGGAATGGTAAACGAATTCCAGCAAAATATAATCAAAATGTTTTAAATGCAGCTGTAATGGAGAAGGGTACAGCTGCGTGAAAACGTGAACTACTCCTTCAGGATCATTGGCAGATATTCATGCTTATAACCAGGCCCATTGTAACGCAGTCCACAACATAATAACGCTTCTTGTATCCTCCCCTTCTGCAGGTGAACGAGAGCAGCCCCGAGTACAAACATGGGAGCCACTCTTGCTCATGCGGAAGCTCCGGAACCAATCCACAAAGCCAAAAGCAGTATGCACTTACCAAAGCACGAAACAGTATCCACTTTCATGAGCAGAAGCTGATCTAGAAAATGTTAACTAGGCGCTGTTTATCGACGGGGGGCATTTCGTACTATCACTGCTTCCCTTGTTCCGGTTTGCAAATCTCACTTTGGTGAAACTTGTGAACTCTTGTAAAGCTGGAGCAGGATCGTCTAGCCACCATCCCAAAACGTGTCAACTCGAGAAAACGCTACCTAGATGGGTCGACACATCTATGGAAAGCAAAATGCCCCCCCCGTCGATAAACTGCGCCTATTAACTATGATTACGCACAAGAGCGGTAATCTCACAAAAAACCGCTCTTATTGAAGTATCCTAATTCAAATGAAGTTAAAGGGACGCGTGAAGTGGACGACTGCGCCCGTAAAACTCGTCCGGCCATTTTTCCGGGTGTAGGTTTAGGCGGCAGTCCCGCTAGAGTAATATTCGTAAAATCGCTCGGAAAGGGATAACTGACTAGTGAGTGGAAAAGTTGTGACTCTTAATACGATTTCCTTTCACGTCGATCAGTTACAACCGTTTACCGTTTGTCTTTGGCAAATTCGCTTTTATGCTCTTTTCTCTCGCCCGAAAAAGAAGTAGCTTCACGTAAGTGCTGCCCTTTACGAAGAGTGAGAAATGAAATGCAATGAAACGCATGAAATTCAATGAATAATGAGCGAAATAGCGATGATATATGAATGCATTGTGATGGCTCGTGTGCTCTGAAATTAAACCCTTCAAATTCTGAAAACAGAATTCGCTTTTGTAGATGGTATGGTCTTGGTGGACGAGGAGACGGTGCGAGAAGGACGACGGGTGACGGCGACACTCTTGGCTGCGTTCCGTTATGGCCGCGAAGATTTGGATGTGTTGGGATTAACGTTTCGAAAGGACTTGATATCGCAGCAGTACCAGGTTAACCTTAGTGAATAGTGATTGAGAAGTCACTAGAATTTTCACGCTATACGCCATAAGAACTCTTTCAGGTTTATCCTCCAAATCCATCACAAACGACGCGACCGCTCACACGTCTGCAAGAACGATTGAAAAGGAAACTTGGCGATTTGGCGTTCCCGTTTTGGTTTGAAGTGCCCCCTCGCAGTGCTAGTAGTGTTACTCTCCAGGTGAGAATAGCTATTAGACATAAATTTAGAAAATTGTCGATTTAACGGTGAGTGTAGGTGTTTATGTACTCCCTTCGTTTCACATAGTTCATGTTTGGAACTTGGTGAGGCTGCGTCCATACGTTGCGCCATCGTTTTGACGTGCAGCAGTCTATTGAGTGTTTCGAGCGCACGCCAGTGCTTTGAGCTTTTCGAGCTACTAGAAATGTATAGATATCGATCTACCGTTTCGAGCGTGCGCCAGCCGGGGCACATCGTTGTTGGGGAATCCCCAACAGGGGGTCGTATTTGGCCGCCAGGAGAGGGGTCGTATTTTGGGCTGAGAAAAATTTATTTTGATAGTTGATTTTTCTCGCTTCACGGACGTTGTAAAGGGGGGGGGTCGTATTTACGTTTTGGCGTTGTAGGAGCGGTGGTTGACTTTTTGTGATTTTCCTGTTTCATGCGTACTATACACCCCCCCCCCGCCCGCTCCCCGACAGCAATCTTTTGGGGAAGTAGGAAA